AACATAGGCGGAGTTACCATGAAAATATATTATATTATAATAAAGTTTGTATTTATCTAACATAGTATAATCTTTTAAAAAAATATGTACTTACTAAATATTTTATAAAAACATTCTTTTTAACTTTTTTTTTTTTTTTGATATTTTTCTTTATCATTCGGGTGAGATTTTTGTTTTTATTTTTGTCAATCAATTAATGAATTTCTACTGTGTATAGAATTTCATTTGATTTGAGAAATATAGATTAACAGATATGTTTATAGATTAATAAATCCAAGGATCGTCATTTATAACTTCAAAAATATAAAATTTAAAATAATTCCTCAAATGCCTATATTTAAAAAGAAAAATATATATTCAAACTATAACTTTTTTATTATTTAGTTTTCAAAATGTTGTATGCTTTTCTTCGTTTTTATTTTTATTATTAAGTATTTACTAGTAAAGCACCCGTGAACTACACGGGTTTTTGAGGAAAAATTTAATGATGCAACAAAAAATAAAAAATAAATAAAATTCTAATTGTGAAATAAAAAATTTTAAATAATTAATAATAAAGTAAAATAATTTATAATATTATTTTAAATTATAGAAATTATTTTGTATGAACTATTATTTATTTTATTTAAGATATACTTACTTTTTTCAAAATTAAATAGAATAATTTCAGTTAATATAACACCCGTGAACATCACTGGTGCATTAAAATAAAAATAAAATATTTGTATAAGAAAATAAGTAAAAATTTATATTATTATAATATAATGATTAAAAAATAAGTATTAAATTAATATTTAAAAAAATTACAAATTTAATTATTTAAACTAATGTCTATATTTTTAAAATCAATTTGTTAAAATGATATTTTTAAAATATATATGTGTGGGTGTGTGTGTGCGCGCGCGCGCATTGCCTTAAAATTAAATAATTTTATTTTAATTAATTTAGATTTTTTCCAAATTTGATTAATATTTTATATACACAATTTTCTTCCCTCGTATTATATTTTTAAATATCTTTCAACTTTATAATATTCAATAATTTAAATAATTGCGTATGGGTGCAATATTTTAACTTTATGAAATAATTATTATTTTGATTATCTTTAATTACACTTCACATATTGTTTTATTTTAATATCATTATAATATTCAATCTCTTTGAAGTCTTTGTTTAAGATGATATATAAACTTTAAAATCTTTTTTATATTTATTTGATATTCATACTAAGTTTACATATATTCTTTTCAGTAAAAATAAATATTTTGTGATATGTTAATATAAATCATTTCTATTGCTTCATTATATAATTTGTAGTTTTTTTTTTTTGAAATTTTTTAATTTAGTTTGATAAATCAATTTAAAATTGGGTAAAATACTTTTTCCCATCCGGACTATCACGGTTTGGCGCATCATCATATAAACTATTTTATTTTACAAACCACCATATGAACTATACGGATTTGTCAATGTGTACCCTAAACCGGATATAAAAGTGGTTTTGACTAAAAAGGCTCTCTTTAATGACATTTTAGTAATTTCACACATTTTTCAGAAAATAAAAAAAGAAAAATGAAAAAAAAATGAATAAGTTAGTTTGAAAAAATAAAATAAAAATAAAATGAGAAATGAGGCTCGTTCCAAAATGCCTTGGACCAAAAATACCTGCTACGCCACCGGAGCCCCCGCCGCCTGCACCGTCGCCGGCCCCACCACCGCCTCCTGTTCGCAGTAGAAACTAATGCATGCGATGACAGTTGAGGGCACATCACGTCGAGCTCATTGTGGGTACGTGGCGGGAGGCGGTGGTGGGGCCGGCGACGGTTCCGAGCCCGTTAAGACGACTGAGTTCCCACTCGGCCGACTGTGTTTTTGTGTTTTGCTTGCGAATCCTCTCTTGCGAGATAGGGTTTTTTTTTTGTCAACATTCGAAAATTTCATTAATCACATAACGAAGATAGGGTATGGAACCATTTATTGGTCGCATTCCCTTGATTGTCATCTTAACGGGGAAAAGGAACAGAATGATCTGTTCACTATTCGATGATAGCGAAACCATCTTTCTGCCTTCATGTCCGGCGTTTCGTGGCCCTTCGTATACGTCGAATGTCATAGTTGGGGTTCTGCCCCTGCCTGCTATTAGGTACCCGCGAACTTCATTTCTTATTTTCTTTATTTTTTATTTTTTATTTTTTCAAACCAACTTCTTCTTTTTTTCATTTTTCTTTTTTTATTTTCTGAAAAATGTGTGAAGTTACTAAAATGTCATTAAAAACAGCTTTTTTCTGTCAAAATTACTTTTATATCCGGTTTAGGGGCACATTAACAAACCCGTATAGTTCATATGATGGTATGTGAAAAACAATAGTTTATATGGTAATGCGACAAAACCGTGATAGTTCGGATGGAAAAAAGTATTTTACCCTTTAAAATTTATTTATAAAGATATATATCAATGTTTCATTTTTATATATGTAAGATGGATGTCAAATCAAAAATCATTACAAGATAATTAATTTGATATATCATATAAAAAAAATTAAACAAAAAAGTTATAAAGTTTAAAAAATAAGAAGAAGACGTATTTATAATAATTGATGTAAAAAAATAAATGCGAAAATAAAATGTACTATACTGTAATGCATGAAAAGGAAACGGAAAAAAAGAGTATGGTAACTAATTTTATTAGAAAATAAGGAAGAAATCAATCAAAGATTAAATGTGATTAATATAAATATTTAATGCAATCCGAGACTAATTATTATTTTATAAAAATACTAATTTATATCCAAGTCTAACTACGATATGTGTCACGTCTCTGCCACTTATGCTCAATGCATTTTGTAATTATATATAGAGGATATCATTTTACTTTTGAAAACTTAATCACATTTTTATTTGTTATTTATTTTTCAATACATAGTGTATGTATAAATATAAGTAACTATATCTAAGGGAAAAAATAATTTAACCTTCCAAAGTATGTCATTTTTTAGAGTTTGCCATACAAACTTTATTTTGTGACAATTTGTCTCCCAATGTAAATGAAACTGACCATTTGTCTCCTCGATTGAAAACCCTAATATGGCACAAAAGAGTTTTCAACTCAATTAATAATAAATTTTAAATTAATTAATAAAATTAATTTACGGTTTTTAAAGCCCATGGCGAGACGATAAATGATTTCTCAAATTCTGAAAATTTATATTTCTATAATCGATCCACGAAGATAGTAGGAGCACGTGTGTATAAGGGAAAATTCGATCATACCCATGTGTGCACTGCCCACATGGGTTTTTTTTACCATTGATTTCACACACACCCATGTGTGTTTATGTGTAAATCAATGGTAAAAAAATCCATGTGGGCAGTGCACACATGGGTAGGATCGAATTTGCCATGTATAAGGAAAAAAATCAATACAAATTTTCTGATAACTAAGATATCCGATTTTTGATTGAGAGATGTCATTTGAGAGTTTGGAGGACGAGTTTTCTATCGAAGTAAATCTTTTGAAAAACCAACGGTCCGATTTTGATTAGTAGCCTAAAAAAAAACTAAGAGCATGTTTGTTTACAAGAATTTAAAAAAAAAAAAATTCCAACATTTAACTCAACCATCTTTTTTAACTCAACTTTAATTCAACCTCACTATCATCAATATTATCAATATAATTAAATAATATCAATCAATCATTCATACACACCACATAAACCTTAATTTACTATTCATCCACTCACATTATTTTAACTTACTATCACTTCAATCATCTCTCTCCTACTTTTATATTTAATCAATTTTAATTATTTTATATTAAATATTATTTTAATATACCCACTAACAACTAACCATACCACTTTTTCAAAATTAACCAAACCAAATAAAAAAATTCAAACAAACCCAAAATTTTTCATAAACAAACATGCTCTAACTATTGATCAGTAGTTTGCTAAATACCGATCAAAATCCGACTGTTAGATTTTCATAAGAATGATTGGATGATATTATTTAATTACATTGATTATCTTGAGGATATTGAAATTGACTCAGATTTTGAATCGAGGTGAAATTTTAATTTTTAAGTGTAAATTTTTGTGTACAAGAATTATATTACATTTTTATATCACCTAACTTTGTATTAAAAATAGTAAGAATCTTTTCATCAATTCTTATTTATGCATTTTCATTTATCCAACTTCATCTAATGACATCCATAAATCACTTGAAAAGACATACTCAAATTGTGGTACAACACCTCAACAATTAAGGTTATGTTTGGAAGACCAATAAACTAGCTTATATCTTGTTTGATTAGTTTATAAGCTCCCTGTATTTAAATAAGTCTCGTTTGGTAGGACGAGTTTATTTAAAAAAATCGAGCTTATTTGATAAACTTCATTAGGTAGCTTTTCAAATAAGCTAGTTGAATTTTTTATTCCAGCTAGCTTATCAGCTAATTTTATCAAACACTTTTAACAAGCTTATCAGCTATAAGTCATAAGCTATAAGCTATAAGCTAAAAAATTACTGATAAGCTATAAGCTAGCTTATCAGCTATCAGCAGCTAGTTTTCCCAAACATAGCCTAAATGGTTGCATGTTATAACATATTACAAACACACCTAAAAACCTTTCAACAAAAACCCTTTTATTAAATATACATAAAATATGCCAAATCAATATTACTTATGTTTAACAAGCTTATCCCATCTCTTCTCCTCCACAACCATTCATAAAACTGAAACTGCAGAGTTCAATTACCAGCATATCCTCCATCAGAATCAGAACTCTAAAAAATGTGGCCTCGACAATCGATATCAAAACAAAAATACAGCACACATTGATTAAGTCGCAAGAATGTTTCGGAAGCAAACATCCGGTCAAAAAAATCAAAATGCATCACTATCAGTGCAAACATAAAGCAGAATAAAAGATCCAAATTCATACCGACTATGAAAGTTGCTAAAGAGATCTTGCCAGGAAAATACACAAAAGACCCTCTCAGAACCGGTCCAATGAAGGGGGCCGGGCTCCCCTCCTAGAAGGGCGGTCATATGGGCCGGGCCTGTCTCTGTAGCTTCTTCCTGCTTCGTATCGTGGGGGCCCAGCAGCTCCGTACCGCTCACCGAAACCTCTTGGGGGCCCATCTCTATCATAAGCTCTAACTTTGCCATATCCATTCTGAGGGTAACGTTCGGGGGCTCCATACCTATCCACAGGATAGCGGTCTCCAGCTGGGGCGTACCTGATTAGACAATAACCGAAATATCTTAGCAAACAAATTACTAATTGTTATACTCAACAAACAAAAAAAAAAGAATCAAAACTCAACTTTAACCCAACCCCACTATCCTCAATATTACCAATATAATTAAATAATATCAATTAAATCATTCTTACCCACCACATCAATTTTAATTCACTATTCATCAACTCACATAATTTTTAACTAACCACGACTTCCAATCATTTTTCTCCTACTTTTACATCAAATCAACTTTAATTATTTTATTTTAAATAATATTTTAATTTTAAATTAAAATTTCCACTAAACTAACCATACCACCTTTTTTTAAAATTAACTATGATTAAAAAAAACAATCAAATTCCCCTAAATACGATTGATCCCCCAATTTTCCTGTATGGAATGGATTTTAATTTGGTGGTGAAATATACACACATGAACATTCAATCAAGATTTAGACTAGTTTGTCTTTCACTTTTTCCTTAGTCAAATAGTGTCACAAAAAAAAAAGGTAACAGAAAATAACCTGTCATTGATAAACCGATCACGACTCCCGTATCTATCATCTCGACTGTCATATCGGTCTCTATCACCACCATTACGACTTTTGTCATATCTATCATCCACAGCATATCTATCACGATAATCTGCATAACGGTCTCCATAACTCAAGCGTGGAGGCGAGATCGGACGAGCAATTCGGGCCCCACCAGCTGACGGGCAGTCCCGGGCCCAATGGCCCGGCCTTCCGCATTTGAAACAGTCATCCGGACCTGCAGACCTATCCCTTCTTCCACCGGACGAGTAACCTCCATAGCCATGATGACTTGGCGGGTCCTCACCGCTCATCTTCGGCTTGGCCTTATTAACTGTGATGGCTCGATCTCCCAACTCTCTGCCATGCATTTCCCTTATTGCTTCGTCCATCGAGCGGCGGTCGGCATATGTAATGAAGCCAAACCCGCGAGGACGGCCCGTACCTCTTTCCAGCACAACCTATGTGAAGATAACATTTGAGAACAAACTGGGGAAAAAGAATAGCTGGATGGTGCAAGAACATTAAATGTCAAAGAGATATATCTACACAATCACCAAAGACAAAAATAAAGTGGCAAATAGAAAACATGATCAACTAAGTCGGATATATTTATTTCTGGAAATCTGTCTACTTCAAAATTGCAATATCCATCATTAAATTTCAAATTTATTGGTTCCACAACATGAATTCTTATAATCCACTGGCTTCGTAAGGTTTACTGAGCTTACACATAATTGAAAATTTTTAAGTTCACCAGAAACAAAAACTTTTTGTTAACTGATTACAACACCCTAGGCCTCCTTCTATATACAATGATCGGCTTTTTCAAGCAGAAAACCTTGCATTAGATGCATTCCTGTAATCTAAAACAATGTTAAATTAAATTGATCCCCTGTCGTAACAGATGATCACATTTCTAATATCGAAACAAAATTTAGAGAACGTGAATAACCTGAAATTATCCTGATAAGGAAAGCGTTTGAAACAAAAATGGAGTAAATGCAGTTTTCTTTTATCTGGCTCTTCCCTAACGAAGCCCATTAAATTTAAGTCACAGGTTACATTAAATAGCATGCTTATGCAAGGAGCACTTACATGAGTAGAAGAATCGCAAAAATGCAGATTCCGTTATCTGATTTGAGTTTCTACTCGAGCCTTGAATTTCCCAGAACAATGACCTTACAGAAATTCATGCAACCAAAAAGGACTGATCTTAACCAGAACAATTATCAGATGGCACTTGATCTTAATTATATTTTCCTTTACTTGGCAAGTTTCTTCCGAGGCTGTAAGCTATTATTGCGTGATAGAACATGAAACAAATCCAAAAGTCAATAAACACTTCAAGTTGCAGCTTCAGGAACTCAATGACTAATTTACATGTCAAACGCCCTTTCTACACAAAATTACACCTTAAAGGCCTTGCAACTTTCCAAAACCAGCATTGACCCATTGGCAGCAACGACTATTATTATCCACACGAGCTCGTAATATTTTCCAGAATTTACTGCTCTGTCCTTTCACGAATCCCACTACTTTATATGGCACTTATAAACAGCACTATCAGTAACAGTAACCAAACAAAGAACATACTCAAACAATTTACAACAATTATATACTTCTAGATGAGCGCACATCTACATTGTCTAAGACACTCTATGATAGCACACAAGCTAATTAGACATGTGCAATCGAGTTTTAATCCCCTAAAACAGATATCCAAAATTGAGATGATAACTTTCAAGGGAAACAAAAAGGCTTAATTAATATCATGTCATCACTCATCACATCATCTTAACGGTCACATATATTTACCCAAACCCCGATAGATGATCCTAAATGTAGCATAAGAACTGTCAATCTCATACAAAACATAAAAGCGAAGGCAGGCTGATCAATCAATCACCAATCAGAAACTTTTCGCACAAAGCGACATCCTTTGCATCGTACAACAATTACGTGCAAACAGCATAACATGCTGAACCCAATTAGCAGAGATTGAAAGTTATTCAGAAAAAATAAGTGTGAAGTAGTGAAGCTATCAGCCATCAAGTGCTTTGCAAATAACGCTTTATTACCCAAATACAAAAAGACACCACCCTACAACTTTGCCAAATCTGATGATATTCATTTGAATGACTGCTTCATCCAACTTCCATGATAACCCTCTCATATGGCTAGTTCCTAAAATAAGGACGTCGAAGCATGTGTAAGCATGTGTAAGGTACAGGGAGTCCATCTCTCAACTTAAGCACTCATTCGGCTCATACATCTAGAAATTTATTGAAGATGGACTGAGTTTTCAGCCTCTGGAGACAAAAGCAACCAGAAGCCTGACTCCCCAATGCATGTCAAAAGAAAATAGCAACTGACTTTCTCGATTCCAACTAAACCCACGGAATGGCCACCCCGAGCTCAGAGCATGTTTTCCGGACGAATTTGGCAAACAGATTGATCTGCTATCATGAACCACTGGAATCTCTTACGCAGGTTAAGCATAAGTTCAAAAGAAATTAGACACTGCAGTCATCGATTCTTCTAGCTTCAACCATCTGCCCTTTTACAGCTACGGTTACGTGTGGCTGCAGATACTCATTTGCCAAACCCAAAAGACTTCCGGCAGGTTGCTTGATGAAGGTACCAGCGACTTCGACATTTAAACAGTGAAGATGAAGATGCATGCGAGCGGAAAACAAGACCTTCTACTTTAATCAAATGGCAGAAGACTGGTGAAAATGTTGCAGTCAAAAGGAAAAATTTAACTTACTCTCAGAATCAGGAAAAGACTATCAGTTGAAACGAAACAAAAATCCACTGGATACGTAGAGGAAAAGGGAAAAAGCTTCAGGAAGCAGGCAGTGAGCCATAACGGGGCAAATCCCTACTCGAATCCGAAAATTGCAGATCTTTGATACAAAGAACATGAAAAAACAGCTACCAATTGTTATGCAAAAACAACTTTTACTGCATTCCGACTTTACCAGCCAAACCCATTTGTTCTTTTTCTGTCAAAACTGACAAAAACGGCAGCACCATACCAGCACCCAATATCAAACCAACAAATTTCAGACAATCCCCAGAAGAACTGCTAAAAACGTCGTGGATTACTGACTCAGAAAAGATCAGCTGAATGAAATCTCAAAAAAACACAACAGCATCAGCAGTTCTAAAATCCCAGTGGACCCACTACTCCAATCAAATTGCACGCCATTAATGCAGGAGTCAAAAGCACCGTAAATCGAAAGGAATTTCAAGAAGAAAAAAAAAATGGTTTTAAAACCTGGCAATCAACAATTTTTCCGTAACGGCTGAAAGCATTATCGAGCTGCTGTTCGGTCACATTCCACGATAAACCTCCTATAAAGAGACGGTTCTCTTGCTCCTTGTCCGCCATCTGACGCACTTCTTCTCTGAAAGAAAACCCTAATTGAGAAGAAATACACAAAAAAAAAATAAAAAAAAACCAAATAATTAC